ACATTGTTTTACTAGGTACATTATTAGAGAAAAAAAAATAGGTCCATTATTTGAAGAGAGAAAATAGGTTCATTAAAAAAAAAAATCATAAAACAAAAAATAGGTACTTTATTCAGAGAAAAAAAGGGTACATTATTTAGAGAAAAAAAAATAGGTACATTATTTAGAGAAAAAATAGCTTCATTTAAAAAAATATGTTTCTTATAAAATAAACAATAAATAGATTATCAAAATGCTTTTCAACATAATTAGAATGTACATTATTATTCATAAAACTATAATAAAATTGATTACTAGTAGTATAATTCTTAAAAGCAAAACAACAACAAAAAATTATTAAATAAACCAAAACATTAATCACATGTAGATTACTAATATGTTAATATTGAATTTAATATTTAATTTCAAATAAGTTTCTAAATTAATTCCTGCATCCATTACAACCATTTGAAAATCTTTCCAAATTCAACGTGTGTCATTAGTTACACCCCCACATAACACGTTAACTTGTAAATAAGGGTAGTTTTGGAATCTGAATAATAGAATAAATCAAATTTTAAGCTAGATTAGGTAACTTGCTTACTTGGATCCCAATCATTGGGGTTTATTTGAAAAAATTGGGTATTTTAAATAGAAAAATAAAGGAAAGGGTTGTATGTGATTAAAAATGAATTTTATGGGTCTAAGTTCAATTTACTATAAATAAAAAAAAACTATAACTATTTCCAAGAATGTTTTTTTTACTCTTACCTTTAATATTGAATTGAAATCAACCTGGAAACAACTGGATTTTATTTTTTCGGTGAAACAACTGGATTTGCTAAAGCAAAATACAATGATCCCTAAGATGTAATGTGCATATGCCTAGAGATTTGGGCTGCCTAGCTAAGAATAGGAGATAACTTCAAAGCCAGAATGTTCCTTGATATATATATATATATATATATATATATCATGCACACATCTGCCCCTCTAGTAAAAGAATAAGAGGAATGCTATTCACAATCGCTCAAAAGCGATTCTCACAGCACTTGCTAGACACGTGTACCCGTTCCCATCCTTTCTTTTTTTTAATTGTTTTTTCTCTTTCTTCTCTCGGTTGCCTCCCTCTCTCTCTTATTCTATTATTTTTTTCTCTTCCTTCTCTCCATTTCCTCTTCCCTTCCGTGCTCTCTGGCCTGCACAGCCCTTTTGTTTCTATTTTTCTGGTCTGAAACCTCAGCACTCCCCTCCATTTTTAATCTCAAGTCTTAAGTCTCTCTCTCAAAAGCTGAACTGCAGTTGCAGAATCCATCTCAACCACAAGGTTGGGGATGCCTTTTTCAGCTGCCAATTTGAGACCAAAGAACAGCCCCCATATCTCAGCCTCTAAGATTTGGCCTTTACCCAAATTAACTGTAAACCCTGTGACCCAGTCCCCTGTAGAGTCACGGATTACACCTCCAGCACCAATAGCTCCATTAGAATTTTTCCGAGACCCATCAAATGGGTTTCTTTCTCGGATACCAGATGAGAAGAAAAAGAAGAAATTAAAAAAGAGAGAGAAGAGAAACAGAGAGAAAAGAGAGAAGAAAGTTAAGAAATCTGAGGGAGAGAACTGTGATTTGGGGGAAGACATACACAGAGAAGAAGAAGTTTGGGTTTTTAAAGCTTGAGGTATTTGTTTTTGTGTTACAAAAGGTTTGGGTTTTTACAACCCATCGATGGAGACAGATACAGAGAAGAAGACGGAGACGGGGAAAAGAAAATAAGAAGGAGAAGAAGCAGGAGGAGGAGAGAATAGAGGGAGAGCAATGGAAAAAAAAATAGAAAAAAGAGAGAGACGAAGGCAACAGAGAGAAGAAAGAGAGAAAAGTAATAGAATAAGAGAGAGAGGGAGGCAACCGAGAGAAGATCAATATTTTACTAATATAGTACTAGCTACCCTACTACGCATTAGTTTTAGTCACCTCGAAAAGCACCTTATCTCGAAAGACTTAATTACTTATGAATTTCTAAATTTAACTTACTGTTATTTTGAGAGAAAATATAAAAGCTTATAATTTTTAACATTTTAGGGATATATTTTTTTTGTTGTGATGAGTAAAAGGGGAACAATTCTTCCGAAAACCTAATTTTAAAAATGTACTTTGGTTCATTAATCGTAAATTGTAATATCAACGATTGAAACAATGAGAAATAAATTATGGAAGAATATGGTTAGTAAAAGAATCGCATAAAAGTAATAAACAATGATAAACAAATTATAGAAGAAATTTTAGCCCACGTGTTAGGAAGTAGCTACCAACTTTTTCTTTCCAAAGCATTTAAGCATGCATGCACTTGGCGACCTTCATGTGATGTATTGGCTCTCACTTTGCATGGGAAAGTCAAAGTTAAACATGGCACTCTTGTCGTTTGGTTCGGATGGGGGTATCCGCGTGCCGGCGCTCGCGACAAAGATATTCAACTTACCAAGAAAACCCCAACAAATATTTGCGCAAACATCTAAACACTTCGTGCATTAATTATTAGCCCATATATCTTTGTAGTGTCCAGGGGAAACCAATGGCAATGATGACCGGATTATACTGAAAAGCCTAGTTAGCATTTTCAAGTATAGGCTTTTCAGTATAATATTCGTATTATATATACGTAAATATTTTTATACATGTATTTTTCTATACAATATACATATTATACATGTATATAAGTATTTTTCACTTTTAATATATGTATTGTTTTATAAAATTTAATAATACCGACAAAATTCACATATTATACATATCTACGGATAGTCCTTCTCCATCTAATCTGGGTAGTTCAAGTGCAAGACCAATTGAAGTAGATGAGATATTGTTTATATTGAGAGGGATGTTTTTGCTTGTATTGATAACGAAACTATAATGCAATGTTTTCAAAAGATAAAAACTCGTCGTGGACAATTGTAACTCATATGATTTATTTTGCTATGAATTATGAATGGAAGTACTATCTTTCTATTTTTTTAGTATTATTTTCTTCGTATAAAAATTTCGAAACTTTTACACTGTGACCACTTGTCCATATAATCCTAGATCTGCCACTGCTCAAAAGCCTTTTAAAAAAAAACTTGTAGAGCAACTAATCTTATCCCACCAAAGTGCTTAAAGGCTAAACACATAAAAATAAGCCTTAGTTATCCAATATAACTAAGGCTTTTATTTTATTTTATTCCTAAGCAACTCTAAAATAGAATTATAGGGACAAGAGCGAGTTACATGGAAAAAATGAAACTTAGCAACTAAGGCTTATTTTTATTTTTATTCTCATGTCATGCTAATAAGCAACTCTAAAATAAAATTATCGGGACAAGAGCAAGCTTGAGGGTTAGAGTTTACATCAAAAAAATGAAACTTAGCACTACAGTAGAAATCAGCCCTTGGATTAGCTAGACTAGGCTAGCTTGGTTTATAGCTAAATATCCATCCAAGTGCGAAGACAATATCTATGTTCTTCTTTAATTTCACACGAAATCTAGTCATTGCTAAGCTAACCTAGTCTAGTCCTCCATACGTGGCCTAGCCTATACTTTTTCAATCAAGTTCTCAACCCAATAGATCTCAAGTTAGAAAGCCACCAAAAACAGCCCAATCGAGATGATTTAGATAAATGTTTTTTTTAGTTACATTGAGAGGAAAGAAACCCCTTAGGGTTTCAAACCTGAGTGTCAAGCAGGGGAGAAGGGGGAGACCACCACCGCGGTAACTGCTCATTTCCAATGTTAAAAAGGGTAGCAATTTGATCTCCCATCTCCTCACCCAGGCTTTCGAGGAGCTCACATCGCTTCCCAACATTTGACGGTAGCCCAATCAAGCTCCACAAGCACAACTTGCCTGGAAACTACAAATGCAAATATGGGTACCCTTCGGTTTTGCTCGAAGTTGTGGCTGATCACAAGAAAATCTTCTGGGATGTGTGTGTCAAAGCTCCAGGAGGCACAGACGACGCAACCCATTTTAGAGATAGTCTTTGTATAATAGGCTGACTTCTGGTGATATTGTTTGGGATAAGGTGATCAATGTGAGGGGTCACCATGTGAGGCCTTACATTGTTGGGGACTGGTGCTATCCCTTGCTGTCTTTTTTGTTGACACCCTTTTCCCCAAATGGGATGGGAACTCCTGCACAGAACCTGTTCGATGGAATGCTTATAAAGGGAAGGTCTGTTGTGGTTGAAGCAATTGGATTGCTGAAAGGGAGGTGGAAGATTCTGCAGGACCTCAATGTGGGTCTTAATCATGTGCCCCAAACAATTGTTGCTTGTTGTGTGTTGCATAATTTGTGCCAGATTGCGAGAGAGCCTGAACCGGAGCTCTGGAAGGACCCTGATGAGAGTGGGGCGCCCCCGAGGGTGCTTGACAGTGAGAAGTCGTTTTACTACTTTGGGGAAAGCTTGAGGCAAGCATTGGCTGATGATTTGCATCAGAGGCTTTCGTCGAGATAGGACATGTTTCCTCAGTAAAGGGATGGCTTCTTAACCCTTCTTTATTTCTATGTAAGGATGTCCTTTTGATTGTTATCTTTATTCTTCCTTTTAGGTGTAGGGTGTAGAACTTGGATTAAGCTAATAAGTAATGCCTGTCATATAATTGCTGGGACCAACTGACATGGTAATGAAAATTACAAGATTGGTAGAAAAAGTGGAAATTCACTAGTGTTTTATCAATAGCATTGCATTCTCATCTCTGTAAGCAGGGCCTGGTGAGGGGATTAGTAGCCAGTGTGGTTTTATGTCGATTTGGAAGGAAATCTGTCTACCTACAATCTTGTACTTCTTAACATTGCAATATTACTATTGAAAATTATCATATTGATTGATGAGAGTACTTCTTTGGTGCATTTTGAATTTTGATCCCCTATAATGGGTTAGTTGCTAGCATTTTCTTATGAAAAAGTTTCCTTTTTAAAATGTTATTCTCGCTTAAATCTGCTAAATTGACTGTGCAAGAAAGTTCCAGGCTCAATAGTTTCATGGTTGTGTTATTGGGGTCTGTTCCTCTTCGGGTTCAGGTCTTGCAGAACTCTCAGATAACATATATGTTTCGTGCTTGTGCCTTGTACAGTTGCACTGGCAATGTGGCCAGTTATGTAGAGAAGCACTAATGGAAGGAATGCCGCTGCCAGCAACAGTACCCTTCTGAGATTTGATTCTTCCATGACTGACAGCAGATACAAAGTAGCAGTTAAGATGCCGATCAAAAATATGCTTATACTAAAACAACAACTAAACTACTCTGCATACAGTGATTTTCCTTAAATCCTAAGTAAATGCTAATAATTGGTTGAGCTAGTGAAACATAGCCTTCTATCCTTAACAGGAGGAGAGTTCAAGTTCTAAGTTCCAAGTTGGATGACATTGTTAAGACTAGTGCTCTTTTATGAAAATCTGGATGATGGAGTTTGCTACAGAGGGCGGAGAATTGTTTGGCGCTTGATTGGTGGCAAATTCCATAGACTTGAGGTTCCTGGAAGTTTTCATGTTTCCATCAATAGAAATTAAAAGGACAGCTTAGACAAATTATTGGGAGAAGAATACAATCAGAATTCTGGTGAGGATACAGAAGCTCTGCAAAGGTAACCAAGCCAGCTTTTATCGCAGACCTAGTTTGGTCTATAGGTTAAGACTTACGCGGTCTGTTTGATCTAATTGAGATATGAGAATATACAACCGTTATACAACCTCCCACTCACGATTGATCACAGAACTGGCACGTTATATACAGCATTTCTGTTGAAATATAAGTATATTTAGCTGAAATATTCGTTTAGATCCATTAAGCTTGTTTAAGCTGTGTACTTAATTGTGAGCCATTGGATTATAGTCCAATGGACGGCTAAGACATTAGTTTGTAATGTGAGTGTTTGTTGTTGCCATGTGTCTCTATCTCATAGGATAGAAGTTTGGATGGCTAGATTGAGCTGATGTAAGAGAGGAATATTCTCTCCTAAAGGTATTATTTGTACTGCACAACTTGTGCGTGAATTGGTAATGAGTTAACAGACCCATTCTTCGTTTTCATCTTCTCCAAGCTCTCTGAGCATTTTCTGGTGTGTTCATTTTCTCTTAGCTATTGAGCTTCATAACCAACAATCCAAATTACTCAGATAATAGTCTGTGAATTCTAACATATTGATCATGAAGTTAATTAGCTTATTAATCATCAATAAAATATTTGCAATTGTAAACATTTAGTTTTTTTTTTAAAGTCTAAGATAATCTAATATGTTATGTTGTCATACTATAAATTGGAAACCATTATTAACAGACTTTGTAATAAAATCAAACCACTAATGTTTTTTGAATTAATTATGTCTGAATGTGCGGTTCTGAAAATGACGTTTGCAATTTAGTATGAATGTTTGAATTAACTCACCTAAAGTAGCAGAGTTGAAAGTTGTCGAGCCATCTCCTACACTGTTGTTTCCTGTGATGATTGTCTGGTTGATGCCGTCTCCGATGAACAACAGATACTTCTTTTTCGATATAATTGACACATACTCTTGATATACACCGGCAGTGATATATATCAAAAAGTAGCCATCACTAGCAACAGAGTTATTTGGTGCGATGGCGATGGCCTCATTGATGGTAGTGAAGTTTCCACTTCCATCTTGACACACAACCACAATGTCCTTCACCAAAACCTCTTCATCTCCTACCTGAAGAAGCCTTCTTCTCCGATGATTGATAGCAGCGTCATAAATTGCGCGAGCGTGGCTTGACATCTTCAGGTTCAACCGTCCCTTTCCGAACCTGAATTGCCTCTTGGGTCGCTTTGGCACCCCACTTTTGTCCTTAGGCACCCAACCCTTGGTGAACAGAGACAAAGAGACACTGTACAACTTTGTGTTGTTAGAAATTGGAACCGACAGATCACTGATGGCACTTCCAGCTGAAGATGGCAGAGATTCAATCCCATCAGAACAAGTTTGGTGGTTGGTTAAAATGGCACTAAGCAAGGTTTGGGAATCATCAGCAGCCAAGCTAGAAAGAACACCACTTGTCTTGTTGACAGTTTGGAGGGAGCTTGATAAGAAATCTATGTTTGACAATGCAAGCAGCTTGCAATCCTCAAGTGCTTGGATTGCTGGCTGTGGCAAAGCTGAGCTAGTTTGAAGATACTTTTCAATTGAATCAAAGAGCTTATGGGATTGGGAAAGTGCATGCTGGACTGAAAACCTACCAAAGTCATAGACATTGGCATTTTTGTGGGGAAGAACAGATATGCAATAAGAAGGGTGTGGGGTGGATTTGCAGATTGTTTCTGGTGGGAGAGGAGTGTTTAGAGGGACATCAGCTAAAGACGGAGAGCTAAGGAGATTGAAAATAATGAGAAATGATGAAAATGCTACAAGAGAAAAGAGCTTAGAAGCCATTGCTATAATTAATGGAGAAGGGAGAGCTTTTGAGGAATGTGAAATAGGGTCACGGGGATTGTATCTATATATAGAAAGTGATCAAGCCAATTTGACTATTTGTTTTTTGTTTTTTGGTTTTTTTGGTTATATTTGACTATTGTTTTAGAGAATATAAAGTTGGTATTGAATTTCATAAAGTAAACGTGCACAACTTTATCCAAAGGAAAATGCCGTTTAGAATTGAGATTGATGCTATTAATTTCTTGAAAAGGAAGAGTGAGGGCTATAGCAGCTGTCACGCATATGTCAACCAATATAGAACGATCCAATTAAACGTGATTTTATATAATACTCCTTGCCTCCTTCATTGTGCGGAGATACTTACAAAAAAATAAAAAAAAACTTATACACACATATCACCCTGCTATTGGCAGAAATGTTGCTCCTACTTATATGGTAAAAAGGGAAGTATACCAACAGGAGTTGGTCCAAGTGGAAGGGGCTTGGATCCTTTAAACAAGAGGTCCTGGGTTCGATCCCAGGCGCTTGCGAATAGAGCAGACTTTGTTGGGAGAGGTCCCCGCTTTGCGCCCGACAG